TGCCCATCCCTGTCCGTGCCCATCCCTGTCCGTGCCTTTCCCGCCGCTCCCCTCAGTTCCTGCTCCGGGTGGGTGCCCTGGGGCAGCAGCGCCCCCTGGCGGCGAGGCGCGGAGGGTTCCGCGGGCCCGATCCGGACTCAGAGCCGGGGTCGGGACCTGGGTCGGGACCGGGGTCAGACCCACCTTTCCCCCTCTAAACCGCCCCAATATGAGCGTAGTGAAATGACACTGAGCAACCCGCCAGATGGTGCACCCGGCCTGGCTCCTGAAACACCGCGGTGGGAGAGGGGGCTGCAGCTGCCCCCTCCCCGGTGGGGTGGCTCCGGGGATGTGCCCGCTTTTGAGACGTGAGTCACACCGCGAGGGAAGATTTCCTCATCCCCTGTAAGGTGAGTCCAGCCCAGGGAGTCGGCACTCCCTCACTGCCCGTGTCTTTTTCCCAAGGCTTGGAACTATCCAAACTAGTAGGGCAAATACTGGGTCAACTGCCCTAAAGATAGTCTGCTTTGTCAAAAGATAAATACGTCCTTAAAATGTCAGACATATTCCATGCACTCAAATAAATACAGCATTTACCTCGATGAAAACAAGCCAGACATCTCCTACCCTCCACCTGAGGGAAGACTGCAGATAAAATTGCCCTCAACTAGCTTCCAAATGCTGTTTTCCAGCAGGGGGAAATGGCATTGGGATCGGCTAGGAAGATCCTTAATTTCAAAATGGGAATCTAGTAGCATTTCTCCTGCCTTCATCCTAGGCAAGCTATTTCCAAATAGTCTGCATACTTTTCCTTATAAGGAATATCTCCCCTGGATCTATATGTGGTTCCTTTGAACAAGTTAAATAAACGTCCTGCTAGGGAGCTGCCTCCCCTCTATGGCAGCCGTGCACAGAACACAGACATCTGATCCACATTAGACAGAACCCCTCTCCCCCGTTCCTAGGCACACTTCTGTTTGCTGAGTTCCTGAGTTCTCTTTCAAAGCTATACAACTTAATTGCCAATACTGAAGCTAAATTTTTTTCCATCCTTTCCTCCTTTTAAAAGTAAGATAAGATAAAAGCACGTTGCCTTTCATGCCAAGTTGTTGTTTGCAACATTTCCCCTTCTGAAAGTATCCTTCCTCCTCTGAAATACTTTGCTTGCTTCATCTGTGGCAACTCGTTTTTATTATGGCTTTGAGGTTGATTTTTAAAGCTGAGCTATAGGAGGAGGAGGAGTGTCATGGCTTTGGATATACTGTAGTTTCACCTATTCCTGTAATTCAGACCTGAGATTTACTCTGACGGAATCAAGCTGTCCAACAGCAGCAACAGAGACCAGGACCTTAACTGCAGAGAAATATACTCTTGTGGCTCCATGCGTGCAATACATTAAATGCATGTCAGGGGCAGACAGGTGGGTGGGATGAGGGCCTGGGAGAGGCACAAGCTCTTGCCTTATTACCATATAAAGTGCTGAGCTATATATATCTCCCAGCTTGCTCCTAGGATTGCTGTCCTCTGAACTGCAAAACTACCAAGTGTCATCTTCCAGACAATTTTCTGTCACACAAGACTGAACTTTTCTTTAACAAGTGAAACAGTTCCACTGATTTCCAGAAAAAAAAACAACAAGGAGAGGACCTTTCATCTCAGGGCTCAGTGAGCCAAACTAGTATCTAGCAGCAGTTCTAACACATGCATGCCTAGGAACAGCTCTCTTTAAGACGGAACTAGCAGTCCTTGCTCTTCTGGATCTCCCTCTCCTGAATCTACTTGCTATTAACTCTGATTCTGTTTCACTATCAAGACAGTGTCGTTCCAGCCTGAGCCATTTTCCCATCACCTGAACAGATAAACCACCCTTTCTTTACTTTCACATCTATAGCAGCAAGTACACATGAAAAGCACATGTCAAGTGAGCAGAAAACCAATCAAATGCCTCTGACAGTGTGCAAACCCCATGCAAGGAGGCAGTGCTGTGTTTCCCACCCCCCTGCCCAGGAGGTGCCCAGACCCTGCCATCAGTAAAGCTTTGGAGTGCTGCAGGCAGGAGTCCTGGCTGTCCTGTGCAGAGGGAGTGTGTGGGTTCTCTGTTGGGCTTGTGGTGAAAGGGATGGGGGTAACTTACATCTGTGGCCTTTTTGTCAGCCAGTTCCAACTTTTCCTGGGCATCTTTAAGGGACTCGGAGTATTTGTCCAGCTCGTCCTCAGTGCCCTTCAGCTTCTTTTGTAGAGCCACCAGCTCGTCCTCCAGCTGTGATACCGGTGAAGGTGGTGCAGAGGGGAGGGCGGGCAGGAAAAGGTGCAGCAGGCAACGTGATCGTGCAAAGGGAGAAGTGAGGGTGCAGAAGGGACAGAAAAGGACAGACGGACAGAGAGAGAGAGAGAGAGAGAAGGAGAGACAGTTATTCTCTTTGCTTGTGGCAAGGGCACGATACCTTGGCAGCATTCTCCTCTGCGGAGAGGAGGCTGTCCTCAGACTTGTGCAGCTCTTCCAGCACTTGGTCCCTTGAATCCTCCGTCACGCGCAATTGCTTTTCCAATTGCACAATGTCATCCTCTAACTAGGTGCACAAGAGGAAATACAACGCACAAATATGTTTCTCCCTGGGCTTAGGAAAGTGGGAAATTAATTTATAATCTCCATCCCTTCCTCCCTCCTCCTTCAGGATCTTCCAAAAACGTGCAAACAACGTGTCCCC